CCGCGCCCGGCCGGGCTGGCGGGGCCGGCGGAGCCTGCGCCGAGGCAGCTGCGGGCGCTAGGCCGGAGCAGCCCCCTCTCCGGCGGGCAGGCCCCGGCCGCTGCGCGACTGCGGCTCTCGGCTTGGCCGGGGTTGCCGGCTCCTCACCCCCGCCCCCTCCCCCCGGGACCCCAGCCCGGCTGCAGTTTCCGCGGCGTGTGGGGCTCGCCTCGAGGCCTGACCGGGGTGGCCGGGGTGCGCGGGTTGGCAGGCGGAGGGGAACCCTGCTCCTGCCCTGCAGCTGGTGGCTTGCACCCACTACCTCCCCCGCCCTGCGGTTGCGCCCAAACCTCCAGCCCTCGGGAGTATTGTGGCACCCGGAGATAACACGCATGTGATGTACGCTCGCCACCGGCAGCACCACACTCAGCCCAGTGGGCGATGCAGACCTTTCTCCACCCCCACTCCGTCCTCCCCTCCAATCAGGCTCTCCTGAAGAGTCTCAGGTCGGAGACACCGGAGAGAGTGTGACACCCCTGCAAACATCTCCACGAAACGTGTTCATTGTCGAGGGATGCCTCCGGGTAGCAAGGATAGAGGTTTCTGCCTCGCCTCCAAGTCGGTCTTCGGGGTTTGAGATCCCATATGCTCCTCTTTGAAGCGGGCCGGGTCTTTGATTACATCTAGCCCGTCCCTCCCCCAACAACAACATCACGAACACACTCGAGCACACACACATGCACACTCGAGCACTTCCTGATTGCAGAACGGCCCCTGTCACTGCGGATCCATTGTCAGAAATAGCTTGTGCCAATCAAAGGAATGTGCCTTTGGAGGAGGATGTTTTCCGCCACCAAGCCACGGGATGTACTTCTGACAGCCGGTCTTTGCTTGTCTCTGGATCTTAGCCATGTCTAAGCATCTTCATGATGTTGCTTCTCCGGTGCACCCCCCGTGAATTAGGTACTTACTGCTCACAGTAATTTCATCGGTTTTGTTGTTGTTGTTGTGACGTTTAACTTAAGGCATAGCCTATATAAGGAGTGTTTTGGGATGAAGGTCTATTACTTTTTCCCAGAGGATGGTCGGCTCCTTATTGTTCTGAGAAAGGCGAGGAAAGGGCACATGCTTTGTTGACAGCATGTGTGTTCGCTGCCAATGCTTGAACGTATGCTAGAACGTGGGCTGAAGGCTGTTGATGTTCTCCAGTGGGGCTGGTCTGTGCTGGGCACGTCGTGTGAACGGCTTCCTTGCTTATATCATCGCTGTGCACATGCACTCACATAGATTCTGTCTTTAGTGTAAAAGATCCACCGCGAAGTTTTTGTGATTCTGAACTCTTCACCCGGGCCGTGCTCGAAGTCTTTAGGTCCCTCCTGGCGGTGAAATACATACGTGATTTTGCGTGCAGCCGGACAGTCCTCTTGAAGTTGGCCCTGGGACCTCGAGTTACAATCTGTGTTAGGCAAAAGTGAAAGCAGTTTGCGTTTGGGTTTTGTTTCTCTTAAGCGTTAGTTAGCGTTACCTTGGCCGTAGAATAAAGAGCAAAGGAGCGCGCATATGTCTCATTGTAGGTTTTGTTTCTGAAAAATTTATTTATTTTTACATGAATGAATATTTTACCTGCATGTATGCACGTTACATGTATGCCTTGTGCCCACAGACGTCAGAAAAGGGTGGTGGAACCCCTGGGACTAGAATTAAGGATGGTTGTGAGTCACCACGTGGGTGCTGGGCATAGAACCTGAGTCCTCTGTAAGAGCAACAAGTGCTCTTAACTGCTCAGCCATCTCTCCAGGCGGCCTATCATTTTTGTTTTTTGAAGTAAGGCCAGTGAGGAATTATATTTTTCCATCTTCCTGTGAAAAGTTTGAGAATCATTCCAAAGAAGTTAAAACTAGTGACAAAATAATCCTAATTTCACCAATTGATCCTTTATCCTCTTGGCATATTCCAAATGCAGCAAATTTCAACAGCAAAGTGTGCGATCTGCTCTATAGTGCCTGTAGGGACTAAAGTGCTTAAAGACTGAGGCTGGCCTCCTTGTCACCCCAAGGTAGAATACCTGTTCAGGGCTGAGGATCTTCTTCCTACTGTGCTAAATCTGGCTTCATGGTGCCATCAAAATCATCTATTTTAATGGGAAGATTTCACTTATAATTGGAAATTTTGCTCTTCATATTCGGAATCTAGAGCTGGGAATGAACTTTGCACTTTCCTGTCAAGAAGCAGTTGATAAATGTCAGTTTTTGTGTGTATGTTTAAATTACTCTGCATTCGGCTTTTGTCTTTTGATCATATGTCAACCAAGAGACATGTGTTGCAGCTTGTGACAGGCCGTGATAGTAGCCAGTCTCTAGGAGGGTATAGTAGCCACTTAAAAAAAATTACTTGGGGTTCTGAGAGCTTAAGGAATTCCTGGTATTAAATGGCATTTTGAAAGGCAAGTGGTTTGGAATCTTGCATAGAACCTGTTCTACACAGCTGAAGAATAGCATTTATTCTAGTAATTATGTAGTGTATGCTGTAATGTTTGAAAGTGTGCTGAGGTTGCATATGTTGCATTTTTATTACCTCATATGACTGAAGTGACTTATATTACAGGTTATATATTTGTTGGTGGCACGCCTGCAGTTTTATCATCTGAATTATTTGTCTATCCTAAACTCAAAGGACTTCAAAGTTGCAAATACGTTGCTTTTCTTTGTCAGTGACTGCAGTTACAGGAGGACCACTGGAATCTCAGGGAACAGTGTGCTCATGTGGCTGAGTTTTGCAGAACCTATTCTAACCAGTCACTTACCTAGTTAAGCACCCACAGACCAGCTGGTCAAGTAGCACACAGGGCTGTGAGAACAGCATTCTCTCTGCTTGCCAGGTTCAGAACATGGAAGCTGAGAAACAATCGCGCAGCATAGCAGTGAGGCGTTGGAAGAGCAGTGATGCCAGCAGCTCACCCTCATTAGTGCCAACAGCTTCAGTTTCTTCAATAGTCCTCTTCAGGCAGCCTTCCCTTAGGAGGCTGCAGACCAGCAGCGCCTCTGCGCAGCTGTTGCCTCCTGATCTGCTTCCAGACACCCAGAGGAGCCGCTTCCATTTGTGCTCTAAGTTTGGGAAGTAAGCTTCTAGTGTGGTAAGAAAATTCAAGTCTGAAGGAAATGTAGAGAGATGTAAGTAGGTAGTTAGGTAGGTAAGTAGGTAGGTAGGTAAGTAGGTGGAGGTAGGTAGGTGGGTAGGATTACTGATATTTTTGGTTTTACAAGTCTGAAGCCTATTGAAGAAACAAACTATAATTTGAACTATACTTTTCTTTTCTTTTTTTTTTTTCTCGTAGGTTTTTGATGACTGTACCAAAATTGGGAATATGTGCTTGAGTTTCTTTTCCCTTGCTCTAAAAAGTCAGCTGAAAGATAGCCAGAAAGGTGGAAAGAGTGGATTGTTTTGGAGTTTGGACAAACAGTCTTTGGAACGAGTTCTTCTGGACTAGGTGGCCTCATCTCCTTGCTCACTCTTGGGTTGTATGCCCCTGTTTCAGGTATGTTGTTTTTCTCTTGACTTTGAGGCAGGTGTGTGCTGTCTTCTACAGGGATGAACTGGTGTTGCAGTTGGTGGCTTTAGCTAAAGAAGGAGTTCCCTGGAACCAGGAAAACCAGGCTAACATCCAGTCCTGCTGTTTTCTGGCCTTATGGCATTGAACAGGTCACTTTGATTTCTTTCAATTTAATTTCCTCATCAGTGAAATTTCTTGTGAGGATTAGAGATAAAGTATGCAAATTCCCAGCACAGTTAGTTCCTGATATATGTTCATGTTAGGAACTCAGGAAATGGTGGGATTTGGAGCATGTCAGAGTGAAACCAGAGTGAAGATCACTTTAACTTATGACAAGCCTGAGAGATTTGGTGTGTTCTGTTTGCACAGATTTAAGATGAAAGAATTACAAATATTTGACTTGGAGCCTGCCTTTGTCTTGCAGGGACGACATGATTTTTAGAAAGTTGACTTGTTAGTGTATGTGATGTGTTGCTTGGTCAGACTTGGTAAAACCTAGTAAATAAAACCTAGCTCCAAATTCTGCAGTGTTACCCGACAGGCTATGCTTATTTTTAAGCCTATTCAGATCTTGTGTAATAAAAAAAAGTGTTTTAGGACATTGACATATCTCAGAGAGTTCTGTGTCCAGAGTTGAATCTCGTGCAAAGCCTTGTGTAAATTCTCATGGTTAATGTAAGCCATAAAGTGCTTCATAGAGCTAGTGGAGATACCAGATGCTTGTTTATTTGGTTAATCGGCTTATTTATGTTTGATTTAAAAAAATACTTATGACTATTTTGTGAAAATACTTGTGAGAAATCCTCTTGCTTACCTGAGTTTTTGATCATGAACTGTCAATAGGGCTGTAGGTTTGTATGTGCTTTATACATTTTTGCTTTAGTGGGGGAAGGAATGAAAGGTAAGGTCTTTTACCTGTTGAATCTAATTAACTGTGGTTTTTTTGGTCTGTAGATTTTGTGTGTAGCCTTGCTTATTACTAAACAAGGCAGTTTTGTGGTAAAATATGTCATCTCATTTTCTTTTAAAGATAGAGATTGATTGCTTTGAAAAATTGGTTCAGCCAGGCAGTGGTGATATATACCTTTAATTTCAGCATTTGGGAGGCAGAAGCAAGCAGATTTCTGTGAGTTAGAGGCCACCCTGCTTTACAAAATGAATTCCAGGACAGCAGGGCTACACAGAGAGACCCTGTCTCAAAAAAAAAAAAAGATGAACAGATTCAGTTAAGGTCATGTATGCAGTGGTTTTTGGTGCATGCAACTTTTAAAATAGAATTTCTTTGGCTGGTATAGAATAAATTGTCACTTTTTGCGGGATAGCATTGTGGTAAGTCTCTGAGCCCACAGGAGTTACCTAGAGGCTTTTCAGATAAGGAAGACACATATCAGCAATGCATTAGGATTTACCTCAAGGGAATCTGCTAATCCTTATTTTCTTTTATTATTGAGCTGCCTACTGGCTTGCCTATCAGTGGAATCAGTCATTAGCTTTGAATTATGATAAAGAGGGATTGGCAAAGTCTTTGACTTGCCATAGATTTTACTGCATACTGAGCAAAAGGTCTTTGACTAGAGTGTGAAACGGTAGTAGCACTAGTACCGTGTGGACCCGGAATGAAGGAGCAAACACAATAAAATGTGCCTACACATTCCAATCAATTGTAATAGATTTTGCTGAGTACATTTTTCTAGAAGGGATGCTTTCTTCAAACAAACAAACAAACAAACAAACAAGTGTTACTTTTCCTGAGTCACTGAAATCAAATGGTTTAGCACAAAACCAGTCTGAACGGGTAGTAAGGTTTTGGGCTTTCCTGTGCATGTGACATCAGAAGGTGAAGCAGTGTCAAAGTGCAGAGTATAGTCTTAAGTATACCTCTGCCTCTCAGCTTTGGAATTTGGACTCTTTCAGGCTGAGCATTGGAACAGAATTTTTTGCTTACACTGTGTGACCTACAAAATGAAGACCTATATGGTTTTCCCCTTCTGGGTGTGTCATTCTAATACATTCAAAGTAGCATCTTACACTAGAGAAGAGGCTGTGATCTCAAATCTGTGGATAAATCTGTGATGGGGCAACTGGAATGGTTAGGGCTTTTCCTGTATTGGTACATGATTATAGTTTGAAAACATCTTGCTTGAAGGTTTCTCATTGTAGAAAGCCTTACGCTTCTAGTTTTAGCATACAGAGTCATTTACATTAAAATTAATCAAAAGTTCAGAAACCAGCTGGTCTTTAATCCCAACACTCAGAAGACAAGGCAGGTAGATCTTTAGGTGTCTGTGAGTTCAAGGCCAGCCAGCTCTATCTAGGGAGCTCCAGGCCAGCCAGCCAGGGCTATATAGAGATCCTGTCTCAAAAGAAGAAGAAAAAAAAAAAAAAAAAAAAAAAAAAAAAAAAAAAAAAAAAAAAAAAAGAAAAGAAAAGAAAAAGAAAAAAAAGCTTCAGAAACCATCTCAGTGTCCACCAGTATAGAGTTAATTAAATACATTGGCATATATTTACATAGTAGGGATAGTCTATAACAGCAACAAAGAATGAGGACACTATATGACTGTGGAACTGTACAGTACTGTTAATTTTGAAAGGCCAGAGGGAAATTAACGTGGTAGCTTATGTCTGTGACCCAGCCCTTGGGAAGCTAAGGCAGGAATTCAAGACCAGCTTCAGCTGTATAGCAAGTCTGAGGTCATCCTGGGCTATAGGAGACCCTGTCTGAAAAAGCAGAAACAAAACCAAAAGGCACAGAATAATATTCTCGGTGTGCCACTGTCTATATTATGTCTATATCATGGGGATTTTCCTGTGTAAAAACTTAGTAGTTCTCCAGAAAGCCAATAATACTGGTTAATTTTTTTTTTTGGGGGGGGGTTGAATGATGGGGAACCAAGTTGAAAGTAACCAGCTTAGTGTATACTTTCTTTTTCTCTTTTTGGTTCTTCGAGACAGAGTTTCTCTGTGTAACAGCTCTGGCTGTTCTGGACTCACTTTGTAGACCAGGCTGGCCTTAAACTCACAGAGATCCATCTGCCTCTGCCTCCTGAGTGCTGGGATTAAAGGCGTGCACCACCAATGCCCAGCTAGTATATACTTTCTTTAAAGTAAAATTTTATTAAAGTGCACACAGAAAAGTAGAAGAATCATGGGTGTGCAGTTGGATGAATTTTTTTGTGTAGTCAGTACCCAGGAGAGGAGATTGTTTTCTGTATTGTTTTTTGAGACAGGGTCTCACCGTGTAGCTCTGAAAGTCCCTGTGTAGACCAGCCTGGCCTCAAACTCACGGAGATCCTCCTGCCTCTGCCTGCATGTGCGCCAGCACACCAGGAATGGAACTATTTTTAAAATGAAAATTATTTTAGATTTATTTGTTTTACGTGTATGAATGTTCTGCCTGCATGTATGGAAGTGTACCACTTGCATTCCTTGGTGCCGTGGAGGTCAGAAGAGGGTGTTGAATTCCCTGGAGCTGGAGTTATGGATTGCTGTGAGCCACTGTGTATGTGTTAGGTCCTCTGCAAGACCAACAAATACTCTTAACCACTAAGCCATCTCTCCAGATCTGGGGAAATTGTTTGTTGTTGTTTTAGCTCTTACTGTATTGCTCAGACTGGTTTTGAACTCTTCAGCTCAAACTATCTTCCCGCCTCAGCCTCCTGAGTAGCTAGTATACAGGTGCTGCCATCATGACCAGCTAAGAAAGCAGATAGATGGTTGAAGCCCCAATGACCTCTTTTGTTCTTTCCCGGTCACTGCCCCCCTGAAAGTACTCTTCTTCTCGAATAGTATAGAAATGTCATTTAAGTAATTACAGCTGAGCCAGGTGTGCAGTAGACATCTCTCTGTATAGTCCCAGCTACTGGGGTGGCTGAGGCCTGCCCAGGGAACATAAACGCTGTTTAAAAAAAATACAGTATCGGAAAGGCGTTCCTCTATTTCCTAAGTTTTGTTTTTTTTTTTAAACTATCTCAGTTTATGTATCAAAATCACAACTGGACATGATAGTGCATACGTATATTCCCAGCTCTTGGGAAATAGAAGCAGGAGGATCAGAAGCTCAAAGTCACCCTTCACTACCTAGTTTGAGGCCATCTTGGGTACAAGAGACTCCGTCTCAAAAAACAAACAAACAAAAAGGCAGCTTCCCTATATTTCTTCATTTCTGGACATTATTTGCTTAAGAACTGGGTGTGGTGGCTCACGCCTGTAATCCCAGCACTCATGAGACAGAGGCAGACAGATCTCTATAAGCTTGAGGCCAGCTTAGTTTGCAAAGTGAGTCCAGGACAGCCAAGGCTACCCAGAGAAACCCTGTGTCAAAAAAAAGATAAAACAAAACATAAATAAATAAACAAACAAACAAACAAATAAAATTACCTAATGTAACTCTTTCTTTCTTTCTTTCTTTCTTTCTTTCTTTCTTTCTTTCTTTTTCTTTCTTTCTTTCTTTCTTTCTTTCTTTCTTTCTTTCTTTCTTTCTTTCTTTCTTTCTTTCTTTCTTTCTTTCTTTCTTTTCTTTCTTATTTTTTTGAGACAAGGTTTCTCTGTATAGCCTTAGCTACAGAGAGAATTCATTCCTGGACCTGGAATTCATTCTGTAGACCAGGCTGGTCCTAAACTCAGAGAGATCCTCCTGCTTCTGTCTCCCCACTGCTGGGACTAAAGGCCTGTACCACCATTGTCCAGCTATTATAATTTTTGTAAATGTCACATGTGAAAGTACATTTTGGGGTACAAGAAGTACTAAACAAATAGCAACATAGTGAAGCCTTGCTTTGAATATCTTAGGATTTGTTAAATTTGTCGACCAGTTGGCTGATAGAATGTAGTTGTCATAAATACACACTTTAGTAAACCTTGAAGCATTTTTGTTCCCATTAAAACCCACATTTGATCAGGTGTTTTTCCTTTATTGTAGAAATGTTGTTCACCCCTGCCTCTTTGCTCAAGTGCAGAAATGATTAAAGTATATAAATCTGTAAAGC